CCCCAAAGGGTCACGAGTTCAATCCCTGATCAAGGGCACCTGAGTTGCAGGTTCAATCCCCAGGCCAGGTTGGAACACATGTGGGAGGCAACAAATCAATGTCTCTCTCACATCAATGTTTCTCTCCCTCCCTCTCAATCTTCCACTCTCTCTAAAAAATCAATGGAAAAAAATAGCCTTGGGTAGGAATTAGCATNCCACTCTCTCTAAAAAATCAATGGAAAAAAATAGCCTTGGGTAGGAATTAACATTAGATGATGATGATAGATAGATGATAGATGATAGATAGATAGATAGATAGATAGATAGATAGATAGANATAGATGATAGATAGTAGATAGATAGATAGATAGATAGATAGATAGATAGATAGATAGATAGATAGATGATAGATAGATAGATAGAGATATGATTATTATTTATATAATATATATATCTATATAGAGAGAGATATCTTCAGGTGAAGATAAAAACAAACAAAAAACCTTTGTTCCTAATTTACTATGAATATTTCACGTACGTTTTGTGTTAAGTGGACTCACTAAAAGTACCCCTTTTCTGCTGCCATTACCCTGGGGTAACAGAAGACAACCTGAAGATACCACTGAAACCCAATTCAGTGATGAGTCCCCAAGCTGGAAAGGAATTCAACTGTCTACTAGTCGAACCTCTGCCTGAAGCCTCAGTCTTTGCCCTGCGTGGCCGCTGGCAAGAGTCACGCAGCCTCTGCCTGCGCAGCACCAGTGTTTGAGGCACCTCTCTGGTGTCCCAGGTCTGAAATATCACTAACTTCTTGGGCGACAGGACAAAGGAGCGCTTGATAGTGAGAGCTGGGCTTTCAGGAGGCCTGACTGAGCGCCCTCCTTTCTAACAGTCCCGTCCTTGCAACCCAGACATCTCACCCGCCACGCGGCGCTCACCCCTTGTCATACTCCACTCTGTAGTCTGGTCCTTGCTCTCTCCTGTGAAGTGGCCCCAGGAAATGCTCAAACAGTTTACTACCCACGCCCCCAGGGAGCAGAGTCAGCGCGCACTGCCCAGGGCATTTCTGATCAGCTACCCAGAGGACTCTGCACCTTGTTCTCTGGCTTAAAGACTTTTGTAGGAAAAAGAATGGGGCTCTCGAGCTGGGACTTGGGGGGTGTCTGGGGAGGGCGGAGCTGTCCTGGCAGACACCTTGGTAGCTGGGGAGGGTGGGATGCCCAACCCCAGGCTCTGAGATGACAGTGCAGTGGCCAAGCACACAGCTGTCACCTGAACTGCCTGCCATCTGATGCTGCCTCTAAGAGTCACTCAGCCCAGGATTCCTCAGAAAGAAAGCTGACAGGATGGCATTCCTGATACAAAACACAGTCACAAAAGTACTGAACATAAAGGCACTTTATGAAGTATCCCGAAGGTTTATCATTTTCCACCGTGGACATCTGCAAATATTTGTCGGTTTTACTCCCCATGATGGGTAGACTCTCCATGAAGACTTAGAAACACGCCGTGAGATGGGGGGGCTCAGAGAGCCTGTGGAAAATTCCAAGAGTTCTCAAGATCCATCCAGAGGTCAGCAGAGGGCCTTTGTTTCATGGTCTCTCAGATCACAGCCCCCACTTCCTACCCCCACAGTGCCCCCCCACCCCCACC